ACTGCAAAGAATTCCGCTCATACTTTTCCAAGCCAAGAAAAGAACTGGGAACTAGGCAGCTTAATAATCCCTCACCAGTCAGAAATGAGGTGGTACAAAGACAAACAAAAACACCTGGAAATTTCTTTCTCTTCTGAGTGTGGCTTTTTTACAGTCTGTAATGTGCTTTGTTGCTGCAGCATCTTAAAAAGTTTCTGGAATGCCTGTGAAGTTATGTATGATCCATGATGTTTTATGTTAGCGCTCCCATGGGGAAACAGGTGTCAAGAGCAGGGGATATTAGTCCATAACTCAATTTGTTTCTGTCCACAATGTCAAGGCTTTGTTCACATTCAACTCCTAGAATTCAGATAAACCAATAGCAAGCGTGATAGAAATGGGAGACGTGAGCCTGCTCCAGGTGCTCTTCCAAGACTTTGTCCAAGGTGGTCGCCATGATGGAGCCATCAGCACAAATCCTCCATGAAACAGTCACTCAGCCACACAGCCACTGCCAGTTCCAGGTCAAGCATTCCCTTGAGTCCAGTGAGGAGGGCCCATCCAAAACCACTTTTTCTAGTTGGGATCTCAGCACCTCCAGCCTTGCAGTGAGGAGAGCTGCTTCCACCATATGAGTGCTGGAGCACAGTAGCTGCTCCAGTTCACACACAGGAATGGCCAAAGGGCAAATGACAGATTGCTCTTAATTGCTCTGGTCTATATGCTTTTTGAGAAGGGTCCCATCCCAGCCGTATGTTCTCATATACAATGCCACTTGAGGTCTCTGTTCCGAAGAAGTTCGTAAACATGTTATTCAATGTCAGGGAAGATAAGCACATGATGAAGCTTTTAGCATAAACATGTTTGTCAGAATATGAGTTGTGGAGACTGAGGCATGGGTGCTTAGCATAAGTGAAGCCATTTTTTTAGCAGTGCTCTATACAAGAGGATCGCAAACTTTCTTATCTGCTGTCTTGCTGATGTCATTCTTAGCCTGCAATGGAATACTCCTTTTTTTAAGAAATATTTATTTATTTAATTTCAGTTGATATTGTTATTTTTCAATTCAACCAGAGATAGAGAGAGAGAAAGAAGGGAAAGCAAGAAAGCAAGCCACCAGGCCTGAGACTCAAAACGTGGTTAGCCATGTGGAAATCCATTGCCCCCAACCACCACACCACCCGCCAGCCCCTGGAATACTATTTAAAGTTTAGTTTATTTATTTCTTCCATAAGAGAGAAAAATAGAAAGGGTGAAAGAGATACAGGCACTGTCTACAGGGTCTCTACACTGTGATCCACACCACCTAGAAAAATGGAATCCAGGGTGCATACAGATGCTGGAGGCCCAAATGAGCAAAGCTGTGTCCAATGAAAGGACTGTGGTAGTTCCCACAAGAGGAAGTTCAGCTGAGCATCGAAGCCTGTAAGGAAGTATTCACAGGGCAGAAAATGGGTGTGACATCCAAAGATATAATACCCGGGAGGACAAGTGTAGATATCAGAAGTCACATAGGAGAAGCGTAGTTGGCAGAGGGCAGATGGTAGGGACCCAAAGAAGAAAATCTTGGGACTAGCAGGTGGCATACTGGTTAACTTGCAGGACTATCACATGACCAACAGTGGTTTGAGTTCCAAATCCCATGGCTTGAAAATCACTCCAGCCCCAAGCGCATACCTGCCCAGAATCCCAAGAGGAGGAGAATTGAGGAGAAGGGATTGTGGTGTGGCCATTCCCCCCCCACAGGGGAGGGGGATTTCTCCCTTTCCCTTTCATTTTCTCTCATAATCTCTCTTCTCTCTCTCTCTCTCTCTCTCTCTCTCTCCAGTGAGCACACGTGTCCTATAGCAAAACCTATGGGAAAAAAGAGAAAAAAACTCTTAACAGACATAGATTGTAAAATTCTCTGTTGAAAATGATGTTTATTTGATTTGATTGTCATGTACTGCAAGCATACTTTGAAAAACATATTGTGTGCTATAGAGATGTACAATGATACCATGTAAATAATAAATCATTAAAAAAAAATAGTGGGCATGGATTTCCAGGAAGGAAGGAATTAACAGTCACACAACTGAAGGAAAAAAGTGTGGTTTATATGTCTAGAGCATAAGATATCAGAAATACAAAATTAATAGAAGTCAAAAGACAACAACAAAAAGGAATACAGTTTACTCAAGGCCTTTCAACTTATGCTAAAGAGAGGGAATTTTGTTTGCTTGTTAAGTCTTGTTCTGCCTTAGGATACCTGTGCTCCTCTCCTGGAGAGACAGAAAGAGAGTCAGAGAGAGAAAATGAGAAATCAGCCCCTCAGAAGTTTGGCCACGCCACAATCCCTTTTTCTTCATTTTCCTCTCAAGATTTTGGGCATGCATGCACATGTGCTCAGCATGATTTTCAAGTCACCAGGTCCAAGATTTGAACTGCAGTTGGCCATGTGGGAGAACAGGGATTTTTACCAAGAAGAATAGAAATCTATTGAAAGACATCAAGAAGAGCTTCGCCTTGTTCACCTGTGATCTGAGACCAAGAAAAGAAGCAGCTATTTCATAGGGGACTTGAGGAAAGTTTACTATTAGAGGGTGACTTACAAATGGAAAGTGAGTTTAATGGAGGTTGATTCTCAGATGCAAGCAGCTGCAAGCTCCATTTGCCCTGTGTCCATTCCCTGCCCTGCACAGAGCTCTGCTTATAGCCATTGCCACTCTTCTGTCCTAACGCCTCAGAGCTAACATATCAGAGTGTTAGCCTTTCTGTTAAGAGCAAGGAAACAACTTGCCTGGGAGGAAGTCTTCAGGCTAACTACCGAAGATTCTTGGCCTTTCTAACTTTGAGGGCAACTGCTGAATCTATTATCTTAGTGGCTCTGAATGACTTTCCTGGGTTAGAATGTAACTCAAGTAGAAATTCCTGCTCAGAGCTACTACTGACTGGCTTTAGGATGCAGCCCAAAAGTGAACCGGCACAGGACCAGCAAATGGCGTAATGGTTATGTTGCTTGGACTCTCATGTGGTCAACTATGGTTTGAGTCCTAGACCCAGAGATTTGAAACATGTCGGGCAAGTGTGCGTGCATACCCAAAATCCCAGGAGGACAATGAAAGAGAAGGGATTGTGGTGTGGCCATTTCCCCTAGGCAGTGATTTCGTGCTTTTTGTCATTCTGGCCAGTGCAAATACCATATAAGAAAAAAAAAAAAACTCTCAAAAAAAAAAATAAAAGAGAAAGAGTGGAGAAGAATCAAACATGGTGTTAGTTGGGCTCACTCACACACTCACATAGCCTTTATAGAAAAATACCTATTTGGTTGTCTGACAAGAACTATTTAATAAAAATGATTTAATGAAGCCACTCCTCACTTAATGACCTACCTGTTTAACAACCACTAAGACATAAGACAAGACGAGTTGTCTAGCTTGGAAAATCCCCTTTCTCAGTCTTCATCTCATTCCTGTAGGCAATTAGTACTCACTACACAAACCATTTGCAATCATGTAAGATTACCTGTATCATTTATATGTTTGTGCACCCACAGTAGTATTTAGAATAAATAAAAACAATTACTCCAGATTTATATTATTGTGTTGTCATATGTCTTGTCTCATTCTGGTGCTTATCTAATGAGTGATTTGTGTTTGGCTAGAATTACGTTATTCTAGTGTGGTGTCATGTGATATCTATTGAAAAATACATACCCTATGGCTCCATGACACAGACATTTCCAATCCTTTAAACTGTCTATCTACATGTGTGACACTATATGCCTATAAGCTGCTTGCTTATTGACCAGTTTGCTTAACAAACTAGTCTTAGGAACAGAATTCGGTTAAGTGAGGAGGGCCTGTATTAGAAAAAATGCCTTGGGAACCAGCAGTTAGCATAATGGCTATGTCGCTGGAATCCCACGTAGTCGACCGCGGTTCGTGTCCCAGACCTGGTGGCTTAGAACTCACGCCGGGCACGTGTGCATGTGTGCCCAAGATCCCAAGAGGAGAATGGAGGAGAAGGGATTGCGGCGTGACCATCCCCCCTGAGGGGGTGATTTCTTGCTTTCTGTCTCTATGTCTCTCTCTGTCTGTCTGGCGAGCGCACACGCCCTATAGTGAAAACCTCTAAAAAAAAAAGAAAAAAAGAAATGCCTGTAAAAAATTAAAAAGCCAAGGGCCAGCAGGTGGTGTGGTGGTTGGGACGAAGAAGGAACCAGGAGGAAGTGGGTCCTGCTACACCTACACCCCCAGGTAACGCTCTGGCATCTGAAGGAGCAGAGGAGACTCCTGTGGCTCAGGGGAGCTTGAGGATGAGGAACACACTCTGTTTGTTATCCCAGATCTGCTTCTTTCTCGCTTTCCCTCTCTCTCTTTCTCCTTTCTCTCTCTCTCTCTCTCTCGTGAGCACACATGGTAATAATGATTAAATAATTATTTTTTTAAATTAAAGCCAAAGTGTTGAATTCTTGCACTAGATAGCATGTAGATGTCCAAAAAAAGGTATAAAATATGGGCACAGAGGACACTAAGAATGTGTCCAACATCAAGGGGCAAAAGGACGCTAAAGGGAGATGATTAGAGAAAAGACCAGTGGACAGGGGTGCTATGGCAGAGGGTTACTCTTGGGTCAGGTGAGAGCCCAAAGCCCACTTTGCACACAGGCCACATAAGTCATATGGGTGTGAGAAGAATCAGGAGCCAACAGGCAGACATTAGAAAATAAAGGAGGAAAGAGAAGTCACTGCTTTGACCCTACACCGCCCACACTCTAAACTCTGAGCAGTTGTCTGGTTCCAGACATCTCTCTCCCACATCTGCCTCGACCCAACTCAACTATCACCATTACTAGGTAAGCATTTCACTAAAGTTCCTAATGCTGCAATTCTCAACCCATTTCAACAGTAATTCATCTAGTAATTCAGTCCCTCTTTGTCACACAACACTTTCATGTGGGCCGCTCACTCACACAGGCATATCCAGTCCTTTAAACTGTGTCTACACATGTGTATACTATATGACATTTTTCTTTTGTAGCCTTGAGAGATGGTGAATGAATACAAAAAAATCGTTCTACTGAAAGGATTAGAAGCTATCGATGATTATCATTTTCTCACAATTAAATCGTTACTGGCCCATGATTTAAAACTGTCTAAGAAAATGCAAGATGAATATAACAGAATTCAGATTGCTGACTTGATGGAAAACAAGTTCCGGAGTGATGCTGGTGTGGACAAACTAATAGAACTCTTCAAAGATATACCTGAACGTAAAGGCCTTGTCAAGACGCTTCGAACAGAGAAGTTAAAAGGTAACAGGGAAGCTCTCCACACATACCCACTCTGCCTCCCAGTCTCCAGTAAAATAACACCTTTTCCATAGTCGGCATATCTCTTTCCCAATTTATGACTCAGGAGCCATGATGGTGCTGGTTCCTCAGAGGCCAACCCAGTTGGCAGCTTTGGGCTTTTTCTTTCCTATGAAGATAGCTGAGGTTTTTGTTTGTTTGTTTGCTTTTGGTTTTTTTTTTTAGAGGTTTTTGCTATAGGGCACGTGCGCTCGCTGGAAAGACAGAGAGAGACAGAGAGACAGAAAGTGAGAAATCACCCACCCAGGGGGGATGGCCACGCCACAATCCCTTCTCCTCCTCCATTCTCCTCTTGTAATCTTGGGCACACACGCACATGCACCTGGTGTGAGTTTAAGCTGCCAGGTCCGGGACTTGAACTATGGTCGACTACATGGGAGTCCAGCGACATAGCCATTACGCTAACTGAGGTATTTTGAAGGATGTATCCAGGCTAAGGATAAAGAATAAAAGACAGAGGAAGTTGTTGAGAGTCTGAGGCTTCTAGAGCATTGAATATGTTAGAAAATGACAAAACAGTATTATCAAAAAAGTTTGTTTTATATATATATACATATACACACACACACACACACATACACACACACATATATATATATATTACATGTACCTAGATATTATATATGCACACACACATTAGTTTTGCTATAGGACGCGTGTACTCACCACCAGAGATAGAGAGAGAGAAAGTGAGAAAGCACCCACCCCAGAGGGGATGGCTCCACCACAATCCCTTCTCCTCCTGGGATTTTGGGCATGTACACACATACCTGGTGTGATTTTTAAGCCACTGGGTCGAGTATCAAGCCACAAAGTTGGCCATGTGGGATCCAGCTGCCTTAACCTCCATGCCACCTGCTGGTCCCTTATGTATATATTTCACCAATTAATGTGGCTATCCTATTAATGATGGTAGAGCCAGACTGTTCTAATCCAATAGAGATAGACATAAACATTACCTCAGCCCTCAAGGAGGAGCTGAGAGGAAATGTGACTGAAACTGGTTCAGCTCTTATGGACTAGCTGCTTTGAGTTTATTGTGCATGTGTTCATGTGTGTGTTTTCATTAGTTGCACGGAAACTCAAAGCAAAAGAAGCAACTCCCAGGAAGACCAGGAATCAGGAGGAAGTGGGTCCTGCTACACCTATACCCACAGGTAACGCTCTGGCATCTGAAGGAGCAGAGGAGACTCCTGTGGCTCAGGTGAGCTTACGGGTGAGGAATACACTTGAGAGCCCACAGAAGAAAGCCTGTTTGTTTTGAATTGTTTTGTTTTGTTTTTGAGAGAGGTTTTTGCTATAGGGTGTGTGCGCTCTCCAGAAAGACAGGGAGAGACAGGGACAGAAAGTGAGAAATCACCCCCCAGGGAGGTTGGCCACATTATAATCTTGGGAACACACGCGCACACACACACCGGCATGAGTTTAAGCCACCGGGTCTGGGACTCAAACCACAGTCAACTACATGGGAGTCCAGCGTCATAGCCATTACACCAACTGCTGGTCCCCAAGAAAGTCTGTTATGAGTCTTGATTAATACCAGCGCAGTTCAGATTTACCAAATCAACTAATTAGATTGTCTTTACCAGGCAAAGATGTAATAAACATTTCTGTGACATAAAGATATAATCATCTTCATTATAAAAATGGAATAACAGTAAGATTTGAAATATATCTTGCCCATCTTACAGAAATCTAGGTGTCCTAATTCTAAGACCAGTGTTCTTCCCATCATATCGCAGAGGTGATAAAAGTAATATGTGTCTTAAAACCATCTGTTCTTTTTTAATGCAACCATCTATGCCTACTTTTACTTAATGCACATATCTTCAGATGATGAGTTGTAATTCCCCCTCATTCCCAAGGACATATCCAATATGAATAGAACCTACTATAAAGTAATGAAAATATATTCTGCTTCTTTTATAATGAATCTCATTAACATAAAAATCAAACTACTTTTAGAAAAGAAAAAAGGCAGCCAAAGAAAATACTGGGGCCAAAAAGAAAAAGACACCTCAGGAGCAGAGTCCGCCTTCATGTCTTTCAGTACCCAGTGCGTCTGCAACCACGAGCCATCCCCAACTTCCCCAGACCTCACCACCAACGCCATGCAACACGTCCTTACCTCAGGTGTATCTGTGTTCCTCTTTTCCAAATGTTCTTGAACCTCGTAATTGAACATTCCACTGTTATTATTGTTACTCTCCCATATGATTCCATTGTCACTGATTTGCCTTGGGAAAAGTGTTTCCTATATTATGATAAATTTTCTCATTTAATGAGAAGCCACAATCAACCATGATCGCCATGTGTAGTAGACCAGGACAGACCACTTTACGCACGCTTGGTCCTTGGAGGTAGATAGCTTATCTGCACATGTTAGTTCATGTGAACTCATGTCCCATTTTTTGTTCCCACAGTTCCTATTACAGATAAGGTAACTTTTTCTCTAAGAAAGATGAATGGATTGAAAAACTGTGGCACATATACTCTGTGGAATACTACTCAGCCATAAAAAAACAATAAGACCCTGGCTTTTGACAGAAAGTGGATGAATATGGAAGATTTACTGCTGAGTGAAGCAAGTCAGGCTATGAAGGAGAGACATTGTGTATGTCTCCACTTAATATATATGGAGTGTCTGTACTCTATGACCAAAACTGAATGACTAAAGGATATAGAAACATAGTAAATGGTTGGTAATACCAGATACAGTGTGGGAGGAGAGTCGGTGAAGGAGTAGAGTCTGAGGAAGGACATTAAGGAGAAAAATAGAGAGGCATTTATGGGACCAAGAAATGGGTTAGCATCTGTTCAATATAACTTTATAGTATTGTCAACTGGACTGGTGAGAAATGTACACATGTTAGAATAGTCACCTTGCAAGCTAAATAACGTGATTGAATGTCTCAAAGAAATAGAAATTAAGATAATAATAATACGAAAATTAAAAATAAAGAAAGTATTCTACTGATACTCAGCAAACCAGGCCATTATGGAGAAAGGCAATTAGAGATAAAGGAATGTGTTCTGTATTTTTGTTGGTATTCTAACCATTGAGGAATGCTGTCAATATACAGTTGAGGACATAGCTCTAATCTGAGACCTTCTATGTGACCCTACTTAGATGTCCAGCCAGCACACGTCTTTCAGTACACGTCTTTCTCAACTTTTTAACAAAGAACTATTCTGGAAGAAGAGGTAAAAGAGCTGGACCTTTAAAATGGCACAAGATGCACTAGTGATAATGAAAATGCTTCATGTTTTCTGGCTTGTGCTGCACAGCGTAAAAATAATATTTTAGACAAAGCAAAGTTTAAGAGAATTTATATAAACAAAGGGTGATTCAAATCAGGCAGTTTCCTGGAATGGCTTCCAAGGAATTCTGGGCAGCCTCGTGGTCATGGGATATTTTAGGTCCAGAAAAGGAAAGCGACATGTGCAGGAAAGGGAAAGCAATGTACAAAAACGAAAATGAGAGAGTGAGGTAGAAAACAGCATTGGATTGGTTATAGCTGCGTGTTAGGCTGCAAGAATAGTCTAAAAGGTCGGCTTTCTGTGATTGACTAAACTGTGGCTAATGTGATTGGCTGTAACTTAGCAACTCGCTTAGCATAAATTAAGATGTGCAATTTCATTTTGTCTGGAGGAACCCAAGTAAGAGAGTATAGGGGCCATTTCAGGCCAAAATAGTTTGCTTTAATAACACCATTCTCCTTTGTCAATGTTTTTCAAGTTGCTTTTTTCACCTTTTTATTTTTCTTGATCATTTAAGTGGACAAACAATATATTTGAAGTTATTATTATGTTGTATTTTCTTAGCAAAGTGTTTCATTAAAATGCTATCGACATCCATCGCCTTATATTATTCATGCAGAAGATCATACTTTGCTTCAGAAGGATTATTCTGTCTCAGTGAAGGTGTTCTAACTTTCATGCCTGTTGTCTGCTAGCTGTTGCTTCCTCCAGCTAAACTACACCAGCTAATTACCTTTCCTTTCTGCACAGCAATCCCTCTCTTGCCCAGCCCCAGCTCCAACCATCTGTAAAAGTTGTACTTGAGGTTGTGACTGAGGTTTCTTTCATGGGAAAGTTACTTTGTTTTCTGCTCAAACTTATAATTTTTTTTCCTGTGTCTGTTCCACACAGAATCAGACACCCCAGGCCCAACGTCAGGGGGCTACTAGAAATTATATTCTCCAGAAGGGCCCATTGACAGTCTTAGTGCTGAAAGCCACAAAACCATTTGAATATACATCCCCAGAGGAGAGAGGGAAAGCAATGTTTCATGCTACAGTGGCTACCAAGAGTCAGTTTTTCCAGGTGAAGGTTTTCAACACCAACTTGAAAGAGAAATTCACAAAGAAGAAGGTCATTACTATAACTGATTACTTGGAATGCAAAGGAGTCCTGGAAATAAATGAAGCATCATCAGTGTCTGAAGCTGGTGAAAACATCGAGGTTCCACTGAGCGTCGTAAAAAGAGCAAATGAAACTCCCAAGATTGGTCATCTTCACAAACAAGCATCTGGAACAATAGTGTATGGCTTGTTTATGCTGCAAAAGGTAATTTATGTTCATTTTCTATACAAACACTCGTAATTAAATGTAACCTGCCAGGCTCTGTTTACTGACAACACTGGAACCAGGACTCCATCTTGACTAGAGGCGTAAAGTCTTCCTACGTAAGAGGAAGTAGGGCCAGGTGATCTGTCAACTTTCTTCCTCTAAAATATGTGCAATTTCTTTGAAAAAGATTGAAACCTTATTTCAATACTCTGATTTTCTACTTTCAGTTACAATGAGCAAGGGGTCTATATCTATAGGTACCTGTTAATAATTTCATCTCAGGGCCAGCAGAAGATGAAGCAGCTACATCAGTGTACTCCCACATGGCCTACTGCCCTTCGAATCCTGGACTCAGTGGCTTCACACTCTTGCCAGACCCATGTACATGGGTGCCCAAGACCCCAAGAGAAGAATAGAGGAGAAAGGACAGTGGCATGGCCATCCCCACAGGGAGTGATTTCTCACTTTCCCTCTCATTGTCTCTCTCTCTCTCTTCAGCAAGCACAAAAACCTCTTAAATTTTTTTTTTGTCCCTTTGAACTCTATCCCAAAAGGAGGTCATAATTTTATTCTGAATTTTGATAAACTTTTGAATAATTGATTGTTTGTGAAGGCAACATTCTGGTTGTGACATGTATTCAGAATAATAAATGGATTGGCTGGTATTCTACTCGCAAATAAATTTAACAGCTGTGCGGATGATCTAAACATTCATGCTGTCTCCTCTGTTGTATTATTTATTTACCCATGAACAAAGTATAGAACAACTGATATTGAATTGCATAATATTTGGAAGAAAAGGTAATCTAATCCTCTACAAAAGAAAGAAAAAGGAATGATGAAAGGAACAGAGTTTTGGGACCAGCAGATGGCATAATTGTTAGGTCGCTGGCCTCCCACATAGTCGAACATGGTTCGCATTCTGGAGCTGGCGGCTTAAAACGCATGCCGGGGGCACATGCTGCCCCCTAGAGGAGAATGAAGGAGAAAGGATTCCGGCAAGCTCATTGCCCTGGGAAAGGGGGATGGGAGGTGATGGAGTTACTTCTCACTTTCTGTCTCTGTCTCTCCAGCAAACACATGCATCCTACGGTAAAAATCTCTCTTCTCTCAAAAAAAAAAAAAAGTAAAGTTTTACTGATATGTTTATGTCCAAATATAAGGTATTAGTTAGGGTGATTTATTCAATTTCCTCTCTTCACATAAAACAAACAAAATACAAAAGCAAAAGCTAATTATTATTATTTTTTTGGAGAGATTTTTCGCTATAGGGCACGTGTGCTCGCCAGACAGACAGAGACATAGAGACAGAAAGTGAGAAATCACCCCCCAGGGGGGATGGTCACGCCGTAATCCCTTCTCCTCCATTCTCCTCTCAGGATCTTGGGCACGTACGCACATGCACCCAGCGTGAGTTTTAAGCCACCGGGTCCGGGACTCGAACCGCGGTCGACTACGTGGGAGTCCAGCAACATAGCCATTATGCTAACTGCTGGTTCCCAACCAAAAGCATATTTTTAAACTGCTGTGAACTCGACTAATTTTTTTTTTTTATAATTGACTGTTTCATATCCCTATATACCTGTTTTCTAAGAGCCCTAACTTTTTCTTACTTAGTTTTCAACACTCTATAAATACAATTATAGCATTGATGAATAATAACTTGAGTGTTTGGGATGCCACATAGTGTGTACTGAGGGAGCTAGGTCAGTGGGGACAAGAGTGAATAATGAGGGAGGTTGAAAAGAATGAGTGAGTTATGGAAGTTTTCTCCCTATAAAATTTCTTACAAACTACTGAGTGAATAATTGTAGCAGATGTTCATTTGTTTCTCTGCAGGGCAAGGAACCAAGGGGTCCAGCAAGGACTTCTGAATTCTTTGTATACAGGTGCTTCACATAATTAATCCCAGCTGCCCTGAAGGTGAAGCAGGAGGAAAATTGGGAGATAGTTTATTGTTCTGGAGTCACAGGTAGAAAACCCTTAGAGGAAAGAAAAGCTAAAACATCAATACAAAAAAATAGGAGAGCCCTCTGAGATGGCCTAGGCCAAGCTATCAAATATTTTTATCTGTTATTACTGTCGTATATATTGTCTTAACTTTATCATGAGGATCTTTCTCACATATATGGCACTTAACCTGCTCTTTTTATCTTTTTTGAGAGGTTTCACTATAGGGTGCGTGCACTTGCCAGACAGAGACATAGAGACAGAAAGTGAGAAATCACCCCCCAGGGGGGATGGTCACGCCGCAATCCCTTCTCCTCCAGTCTCCTCTCGGGATCTTGGGCATGCACACACACGTTCCCGGCGTGAGTTTTAAGCCACCGGGTCCAGGATGCGAACCGCGGTCGACTGTGTGGGATTCCAGCGACATAGCCATTATGCTAACTGCTGGTTCCTACTCTTAAAAACTGAATGTTAATCATCTTTTGCAGAAAACAGTGAACAAGAAGAACACAGTCTATGAGATACAAGATAATACAGGAAATATGGAAGTAGTGGGGAATGGAAAATGGCACAATATCAATTGTGAGAAAGGAAATAAACTTCGACTCTTCTACTTTCAACTAAGAACATTTGACAAGAAGCTGAAACTGACATGTGGAATACACAGTTTCATCAAGGTGGGAACTAGAAAGAGGAACATTAGTTTGCCAAAGAGGCAAATAATTTTGCTTAGGCTTTAGGAATATCAGATCAGATTCTTGATGCGTTGCACCTGTGGTCCAGCAGGTGGAAGGAGAATCTAAATAATGCCTTTCACTCATTTCTAAGAGGAGACTTTTTATAATAAATGAATAAATGACATTAACAAAATGGCATTCATATAGACTTCAAAGAGGGTATGATGCTTATTCTAAATACTAAAGTATTTGAAGAAATTGAGAGGACAGGCAAATAATTTTGCATGATGTTCAAGAGCAGAGGCCTCAGACAAGACTGGTCTGATTTGAGTTGGAGCTGCAACACTCCCTAATTAGCAGATATTAGGAAAGGAATTTAATTGGTTCACCAAAATCATGGAACTCTCCACTTTATTAGGTTGATTTAAATGTTAAGAGACACACACACAATGTATATGTGTATACATTTAAATGTTAAAAGAGACAATGCATATATATACATACCTACATAATGTGTGTGTGTGTGTATCACTTCTCTCGCTGCCCAGTACATCATGAGAAATTAATCTATAGTTGCACTATTTTTCTTCTTAAGGTGCAGAGACTGTAAAGTGGTTTAGGCAATGGGAATGACATATACAAAGATTCTAAAGTATAAAACAGCACTATGAGTTCTGTATCACTGAAACTTGGTAAATATCGAAGACAAAGGGAAGATGAGGCCAAAAGGTAACAAAAGGGCAAGATAGTGTAGTCTTTGTTAGAAATAAACAAAGTAGAAATTTTATTTTGATGACAGGTAAAAGTTGAAAGACTTTAGGAAGAAAAATGGCAACCATTTGGACATTTATCATTTGGACATTTTAACTAAAACCATTCTAATAACTACGTTAAAGGGGTGCATTAGAAGGACGCAGGTTCGAGAGGCAAAGAAACTGGGCATGTGTACGTGTATGCCCAAAATCCTGAGAAGATAAGCTGTGAATTAAAGTTGTGGATTTGGATAATATTGTTTAAAACAGATAATAATAACATTGCATTTATACTGATAGAAAACACTGATTACTCACTATGTGCTGGGAACTGAGACACTGATGGAGCTATAATAAATATTACTATTTTATATATCTAGATATGAATGCTCAGAAATTGTAGGTAATATGCCTAAGTTGACAAAGCCAATAAATACTACCAATTGAGATCCAATTCCACCTCTCAGATCCAGAAGTGAAAGAGTGAAAGAATCCCTGCATTCTACCTCAACCTGCTAATGCAGAGCAATTTCTCAAAAACAAAAACAAACAAACAAACAAAAACAATACCTTGAACCAGCAAGTTGTGTGGTGGTTAAGGAGACTGGATCCCACATGGCTGATTGTAGGGTTCCAAGTCTCAAGCCCCGATAGTATGAAAAATATGGCAGGTATACATGCGTGTGTGGCCAAAATCCCGAGAATGGGTGAGAAGGGATTATGGTGTGGCCATCCAACCTAGGGGGTGATTTCTCAATTTTTCTCTCATGAGTGCCACTCCTTGTAGCAAATAAAAAAAAAAAAAGGAAAAGAAAAGAAAGGAAAAGAAAACTAACCTATGTGTCTTATTTTAACTCTTCTGCACCAGCAGTGGGAAAACTGTGCATATGGTTTCTCCTCACCACCCTTGGGTAACTCCTCCTCTGTTCCAATGTACCTAGACTTGATATAAAGAAATATCTCTGTTGAGGATGCACATGACAGGGAAGAGGTGACTCAAAAGAGAGTATAATACATCAAAGAAAATGGGCAAGAGAAAATGAACAGCCTTTGAGGGGGAGAAGGGGACTGATGTGGCCTATGGGAAGGATGGAAAATGGTGGGTGACAGGAGAAACATGGGTAGATCTTCACCTCAATTGTTGGGATCTCATTGTGTCCTTCTCCTCTTTCCTTCAAGGTCATCAAGGTCAAGCAAAACAAGAAGCAACCAGTCAATGCTAATTCAAATCCAGAAGCTGAAATAAGGAATGATCTCCAAATCAATTAAGTGACATTAACAGAGATGATGTAAACACTGAAACTCCATTTAAATAATAGATTCAGTACATGTATGTTAGTATATTAAGAGATGTTGCATTTAAGTCTTAGATTAAGCTGCTTTCTTTTATAAAATTTGCTTCTTATGCTCTTCAATATTTTCTAAATATAATGTATTTTGCATCTGTAACACCCATAATATAAAAAATTTTTAAAAAATGTCTATTTTGAAGAACATTTTTCTCTGAAAGTACCAGATACATTCTCTTAAATTCAGTATTGAACTTCTTGAAGCTGAATGCTGAGAGCACAGAGGCACTCCTCAACATCGGAGTCTACTTTGTGATTTCCATAGGATAAGGCCTCAATGAAGGTCATGCTGAAGTGTATTCAGGCCATGCTTGAATGGGCAAGCCCAGTGCCCTGGGGAAGGTTCATGTTTTTCAGAATAAGATTCCTTTGTGCAGTTATATCCTACAGAGGGGGGCATTTGAGAAATGGATTTCTCTGAAAGGGATACCACTGGTGATTTGCACAAAAGCACCAATACATGCAAAAAGCTTCCCTATCCCTAGTTGGAATGGAAAATTATTTCCACTCATTTTTTTCAATTCATAGATACATCTCATTACTAGAACTACAATTACATTTTCATATTCTCACATTTTCTATATGTGGATTTCAGATCCAAACTACTCAAGGAGGTATATGCATAGAGTAAACAATAACAAAGAGTGAATTAAATTTACTCTAAATAATAACAAACACCACCTGTGAAATTAAGTATCTAAAGGTAATACTTAAATATGAGCATTATCTTGTGTTTCTGGTCACCGAAGAGTAACATAACCACCACAAACACTATAACTCAATAAAGTAACATCATGTGGCAGTAAAGGAACACTGGAAACATCTTAGATTTTTATAAACCTGTCATATCAAGTCATAAAATGAAGACTTCAAAGATAACTTATCAGACAATGATTGAAATGTCATGCGAACAGAAAGCAACAATTAAAAAAAGAAGTCTTAAAATATTTTTAAAAATCCAAAGTCACTGCAAGATATTACTAATGCGCAGTACCTAATTAAAGTTACAGACTTTGGAGGCCTGCAGGTGGTGTGGTGGTGAAGGCACTGGACGCCCACTCAGCTGACCATGGTTCAAGTCCTAAACCTGGCAGTTTGCTTTCTCACTTTCCCTATCTCTCTGTCTCTCTGGTCAAATTAAAAAATAATAATAACAACAATGAAGAATAAAATTAAATAAGAGATAATTCTTTATAAAAAATTTACAGACTTAGAGAGAAATAAGAAATTGTCACCCTATCTTCAACTGAAAAAGGAGAGGAGGTAGCCAGTAGAAATAGGTGCTGGGATAATGTATTATGTTTTGCAGAATCTTTAAAACAACTACCAAAACTTTATGCAAAACTCTCAAATAAAATATTTTTCAATTATTAGAGGCAAATATGATATGAATAAGAGAGATTCAGAAGAGAGCCAAATAAAAAGTCTAGAACTGAAATTAGTAATTATAGTGAAAAATCCACTGAAATGACTGAAGATTCCAACAAAAAAAATACTAAGCATACTCATATAGTGATGAACCTAAATTATCTACCAGGATGTGCACAGAGGAAAAAGTAAAGAAAAATTAAATAATTAAAAAATAATAATAGCCATACAAAGTTCATTACATAATAAATAGGAATACCAGAAGAAGAGAACAAAAAGCAGAAAAACAAATCTGAAAACATAATGGCTAAGGGCCATCCCCATAGCCTACTGGTTGAGAGAGCCAGATCTCATAAGGCCAGCCGCTGTTCTAGTTTTCTCCCTGGTGGCTTAAGAGACATGTCAGGAGCTTGTGCACATGTGCCCAAAATCCCAACAACGTGGAGAGATAGAGGAAAGGAGATTGAGGCATGATCTCTCATCCCTTTGGGCACTTTACCCTTCTCTGTCTCTGGTCAGTACACATGCATTCTGGCAAGTTGAAAACAAAATGACTGAAAATTACACAAATGTGTTCAGTACATGAATACAGAACTCAGAGACTCGATGAAAGCCTATTACAGATATCAAAAAAGTTAAAGTCTATTACAACAAAAGAATCAACAACTTGCTAAGGAAGACATACCTAGGCTGTACAAAGAAATCTTAGAATCCAATCATTAGAAGGCAAACTACCTGGGACCAGTCAATGGTGTAATGATTACATCACTGGACTTCCATGTGGCTGAAAGCATTTCAAGTCCCAGGCCCAGCAACTGAAACTCACTGAGCACATGTGCGTTCATGCACCCTATAACAAAAATCTCTTTAAAAAAAATAAAGCAAGCAATCTAATTCCAACTAAGCAGAATATTTGGGGGCTGGCAGGTTGCATGGTGATTGTGACACTGGACTCTCACATGACTCACAGCTGTTCAAGTCTTGCACCTGGTGGCTTGCTTTCTTGTTTTTTCCTTTCTTTCTATCTTTGTCTCTCTCTGGTCAAATTTTTAAAAATAAATAATAATAACAAATATAAAGCTAAATAAATTTTAAAAAATAAACACAACATTTGAACAGACATTCCATAGAAGATACATAGTTTGTAAATAAGCACATGAAAAATATGTAAAATTATTAGTGATCAGGAAAATGTAGTAAAAATTATAAAGAGATAGAAATTCTTACAAGAATGGCTAAAATTATAAAGGTTGATTGTATCAAATAGTAAAAAAGATGTGGACCAATGGAAATGCTCCACTAATACTATTAGTTATGTTAAATAACACAATTTCTTTAGAAAATAGTTAAGCAGTTTTTTTATAATTTCAAACACAGACTCCCAATATTACAAAGAATACCATTCCTAAATATCCCAGAAAGATGGAAACACACATTTTACTATGATCCTGTATAGAAATGTTTATTGTAGATTTATTTGTAACAGCCAAAATCTGCAAGAAAAAAAGAGCAAATAAAGAAGTATACCATTCGATGGAGTACTACTCAACAATATAATAGAGCAAATTTTTCATGAATATTATGAAAAAAAAAAATCTCAGAAAGTCTTTGTTTCCTAAAAAAGGCAAGAAATATTAAAAGATAGTGGCGATGTTGCTGATTTTTAAAACAAATAAAACAAAATAGCATCTGGTTTCATCGATTTCTCCGCTTGTGGCTTTTTCCAGTTTTTTACCCTTTATTGTTTCCATCCCTACATTTAATTTGAATTTAATTCACCAGAGTTGTTTTTGTTTGTTTGTTTAGTTTTGTCTTTCATAGTCTGGCTTATTTTACTTAACTTTATATATCCTAGGAACATCCACTTGGTATCAAATGACAAGGGTTTTGCTGTTCTTTCTGGTTAAATAATTTTCCACTGTATATATGTGCCACGTTTTGCTTCTTTTTTAGAGAGATTTTTGCTGTTGGGTGTGTGTGCTCACCAGAGAGAGAGAGACAGAAAGTGAGAAATCACACCCCCCCCCCAAGAGGGCAGGGATGGACATGCCGCAATCCTTTCTCCTCCGTTTTCCTCTCGGGATTTTGGGCATGCACTCATGCACACACACCAGCGTGAGTTTTAAGCCACCAGGTCTGATACTCAAACCACAGTCAACTACATGGGAGTCCAGCAATGTAACTGTTAACCATTCTCTGGGCTCCACACATTTTCTTAACCCAGTCATTAGCTGTTGCAAACTTGGTTGATTCTGTGTCTTAGCAATTGTGAATAATGCTATGATAAATACAGATGTGCAAGTGTCTTTCTGAATGAATGTCTTCCTGTCCTTTGGGTAAATACCAAGGAGTAGGATTACTGGAACATATGGTAGTTTTACTTGTAAAATTTTAAGGAACTTCCCTATTGTTTTCCATAGAGGCTGTACTAGTCTACAATGCTATTAAAAATGCAGGGGGGTTCTGTTTTCACCACAACCTCACCAACAGTTGTTGTTCCTAGATTTTTTTATTATTGTTATTATAGTCATTCTGATCAGGACTAAATGATATCTTATTGTGGCTTTGATTTGCATTTCCCTTATGATAAGAGAAAGTAACATATTTTTCATACATTTTTGGACATGCTTATGTATTCCTTTGATAGTTGAGTGTATAGCTTACTCATTTTTTTAAATTTATTTATTTTTTGCCATAGAGTACTCACCTAATAGAGACAGAGACAGTGAGAGGGAAAGTGAAAAATTACTTCCTGGGGGGGTGGCCAAGATACAACCCCTTCTCCTTCATTCTCTTCTCAAGATTTAGGGCACATATACACATGTGTCTGGTGTGATTTTCAAGCTGCTGGGTCAAGGGTTTGAACCACAGTAGGCCATTTGGGAGTCCAGCACCTTAACCACTATGCCTCCTGTTGGCCCCATTGCCCATTTTTAAATTGGATTATCAGATTTCCTGCAATTGAGCTGCTTTTGTTCCTTATATATTTTAGCCATCAATCCTTTATCTGAGGCATAATTTTCAAACATTTTCTCCCATTCTGCAGTTTGTCTCTTCACTCTTTATTATTTCTTTTGCTGTGCAGAAGATTTTTAACTTGATGTAGTCCCACATGTCTATTTCAGGGATTGTTGCTTACACTATAGGGGTCTTGTTTAAGAAAGCTTTGCCCACTCCAGTGTTTTCAAGTGCTTCCACCCCTGTGTTTTCCACTAGTCATTTTAGAGTTTGAGGTTTTACATTTAGATATCGATCCACTTTCAATGGACTTTTGCTAATGGTGAGAAATAGGTGCCCAGTTTTATTTTTCTGCAAATAGATATCCAGTTCTCCAAGTCATTGAAAAGATTTTCTTAACTCCATTGGATTATCCTGTGCTTTTTAAAGATAATAAATTGGCTGTGTGATTCAGGATTTGTTTCTGTTTTTTATCATTATTTTATTTTATTATTATTATTGTTGTTATTATTATTATTATTATTATTATTATTATTATTATTATTATTATTATTAGTTTGA